GTACTAGTGATGATTCGAAGACTATTGTTTAATGTTTGCACCTCTCCCAGTTTGTGCAACAAGAAAAACATTTCACTTTGAGACCAAGCGTTTACGCTGTTTTATGCAACTTAAGGGTCTGCCTCCATCTAATGGAGCAGTTTAAGCTCCCTGTTGATTTTGCTCTAAATCTGTTGAGTAGTGCTCAAGGTGTGAGGATGCAGTTGCTGCTGGTCACATTTTAAGATGTAACCTTAAAGTATCCTTTATACAGACAGACCCTCAGTCTACCTTCCAAGCTGAAAAGATTCAGCACCATCACAGTACAGAAGCACTTGGAGATGTTTTAATCCATCCCCAAACTCAAGCTATTGTAGTCTGCCACACAATCAGGAAGATCTGGAGAGGTGATGAGGCAGGTAGTTCATTTGATCACTGCAGCTCAAATGAGCAGGAGGTTAAGGGGGCAGAGAATGGGGATCAGGCCTTCCTGGGCAAGTACCAGTATTTCCTCAGGGGATCCAGAGGCTGCACACTAAGAAGGGGACAAGAAAAAAGGCTGAACTGATGAGATTTCTGGTCATGAGAGGAATGTGGTTTAGCTGAAGGGTAGTGTGAAAAAATTATAAAAAAAAGTGCCCAAGCATTTTTATTAAGCATATTCAGAAGGAAAGGAGCTGGTTTGGAGAAAGGAGCTGTGCTCACAGCCTTGGAGCAGGCTGAAATATCTCTCTCCCATGCAAAGGGCTACTGGGGAGGACAGAAGGACAGGGAGCACAGATGACCCCTGATGCCCATGCACAAAGCACGAGGACAGGCAAGTCCATGTGCACTCTGCAGGCACTGACAGATAAATCACAGCTGGTTTTGAGTGCCCATAGCACCATCTCCACGGTGGAGTCTACATATAGACAATTCATGCCTGAGAAGCAACCTGCACTGAGACTTAGCTTGGCTTAAAACCTCCTTCATCTTTTCCTGCCTATATCTCAGATACACTGTCTTGCTTAAGGGAAGGGCAGGAGCTCGAGGAAAACCAGTCTGCTGACCTACAGTGGGTCATTTTGGGGTAGACAGGGGAGAGGGTCCAGGTGTGAGAAGGATGGGTGAATTTAGACCTGATGGGACCTGGGTCTCCTTCAGGGCCAGAGCTCTGTGTCAGGGAGGATTAATACAAATTTGGAGAAACTTAAAGAATACCTGTATGCATAGCCAGAGTTGAACAGAGAGCTAGCTCTGCCCAAGACATCTGGGAAAAAATTCATCACAGCTAATTGACTACTCAAACCTATTCTTAGTTTATATGGTAGATATTAATGGTGCACTGAATACAAAGAAAGATATTACAGAATTTAGTCAGTTGGTGCTTGACCTCTTGATAGCTATCCTGCACACTGGACATGTAACATTTCTAACATGATTAAATATTAGTACTGGAAAAGTGGTGGACAAAACATGAAACATTTTTCCCCCATGCTTAATGCCAGTATCCTAATAAAAAAGGCAAGCCAAATATCAGAGGAATTGCTCAAAAGAGAGACCATTAAGGTGAGCTTAATTCTGGAAAATGGATTATAGGTCATGCACACTGCAGGGAGAAGGAAGAACCCTGAAAATCCTTTTGTTGCATCTTCTAGACAAGTACAAATAAAGTATTTTAAAGAATAGTCTGGTGAATATTTCCTAGTTCTCATTAGTAACAGAGTTCTCAGAATCCCAAGTTCTAGGGCCACAAAGATGTTACATTACAGTGAGTGGGAGAAATCCATTTCTACAAGAATATCTGAGAATCTTTTTCCTAAAGCACCATCAGGGATATCAGTTTTCAAAGCCTAAAGAAATTTCTTGCCCCACAGCTATTTAGAAGGAGCATATAAAAATGCAAAGGGAGCTCAACGTCAGTCTAAGCGAGTGTAAGTGTAAACCAACTCTCTACAGAATGATGAAAACTGCAGAAGAAATGATCTCTAATACCACTGGCCTCTCCTCATCCCCACCTCCACCCCCAAGTTATTTCTGCAGACAAAAGCAAGACAATGAGCTAAAAACCACAGCAGCCTAAAATTACCCAAGCTACATGTAAAACATGATTTTTAATTTTTAAGTATAAAAAGCTTTTTAATGATCACATTAAACATGTATTACTCCTCCACTTTTAAATTAAAAATTTACCAATTTCTCCTCTTGAAGAAAACAACTGCTGTCTTCTCAAACTATTTAAAACCCTGAACAGATGTAGAGCTTGCATCATTGCAACCACACACAGAAATACTTCCACTGTGTAAGAAGAAAAATATAGTCTTTGTAGCTTAATTCTAAGAAAAAAAATTAAAATCTACTGGTGTCATGCCAATTCATAGTCTGTGGTGCTGGATTCTTTCTAAAATCAGCCATCAGAAGCACCCAGCTCAATAGAATGAGGCACAAACTTTTCACTATTTAATTGGTACCGGGTTAAATGCAAAATTCAGTTGGATGCCGTTAAATGTGGTAGCAGAGCATAATAGATGTTGGCTCCATCTATTTTAAGATGCAGGATGCTTCCTGTCTCAGAGGTCTGGAGACATATGATGGGTACAGCCCAAATCTGTTCTGGGCAGAGACTCCAGTCTGCCTTATCCTCCTCCAAACCCCTGGTTTCCAGGCAAAGGAAACTTTCCATGCAGACCCAGAGTGACAGAGATCTTTACAGAATCCCCTAGATGACTGGGCATACTGCAAAGCAGCTTTCCCCTCAGTACATCATAGGTACTGGGTACCCAATATCAGTGAGAGTCGGCTGACAGGGATGTCCTGACACCAAATCTGGAAAAAAAATGCATATCAGAAGGGTGGACTTAGGGTTCAGATACAGATTTTGAGTTTGTTATCAAGTGCTTGATTTCTTTATTTAAAAAAATTAACTTATGAAAGACACACATTCAACAATACCTCAAATCAACTGCCAACTAGACTGTACAAAGTCCACCCTCCACTACCTAAACCAGGCCACAACTTAATGAGAAAAATACTTCCTGATCTTTTAAATTGGAAGACCTGCTGCCTAAACTATCCTTTGCCCCATTGTTAGCAGATGATGCACATGTGTCTTGGTCTGTTTGTCATTGCCCTAAATGAAGAACTCTTCTAAAATTAAAAGGATGATCTCTCTCTCTGGCTTTAATTTCAGAAGACAGGAAAGTATCTAGTGGTAGGAAGTGTTACTGGGAAGTTATTGTTGTAATTGGCTGCCTACATCATTTTTACTTTCCCTTCCTTAAGGGAATGTTTGCTAGACTAAATAAAATTTCAGATATCTCTATTGTTTGGGCTATGAAATGGATACTGTCAGCTGATATATGGGAATGGAATACAAAATATTAAAGTACTTTCTGGGGTCTTCCAGGATAAGCAATTTGGGTCAGTTAAAAAAGAAAAAAAAAAAAGTGGATGAGAATTTTGATAAGATATAACAGTTAGGAGAATGGTTTCTTGGTATTTGTTATAAGTAAGAGGAAATGGAGAACGGAGGAAACACGCAACATTTCTTCACATATTGCAAAGGTAAAGAAGGAATTTGCCCAGATAAATATCAGCCCTAAATGTGACCTCTTCTTTGCAACAGTTTAATAACCCATGGAGTTTTTTCCCTTCCCACTGCTTTTCACTTCTTCTTTCTAGTTGTCTATATTTGCATTTTATTCAGTTTGGGCAACAAATTTGATTGGTCAATGTTCCTTTATATTCAGAGACATCTGGAAATGTCTACTATTGTTAAAGATATAACTACTGCCACAAAAATCACACCAGGATTTGTCATACTGATTTACATTTTCATCTCAAGTAATATCTCATTCCTTTCTTTGAGAAATCTTTCCTATAATGGTGAACTATCTCATTCTCCAAAATTCTGCAATAGTTTAACATTAAAGGTTACAGTAAATTGCCTGCAGTTTCCTTCCCCCAATATCTCTTTGCTAAATTGCACCCATATATTGTTGGCTGCCTCCTTCCACTTCAGCCAGGCAGTCCACCAGGAAGATAATTCATCTTTTCTACCTTCCCATGGAGAATCACTCACTGCAATGTCACTTCCAAGCATGAAACTAGTAGCTAGAGACAGACCATGAAATGTTATCACTTGTCAATAGCAAGCAAATGGGCTCCAGTGTATGCAGAGCTGTTGTGATATCTCAGCCCTAGATGTTTCAGCTGTGGATATGGAGCAACTTGATTAAGGGATACAGCTGCACTCTGTATTCCTGCTTTCACAGCCTCTGTACAATATTGCCCTGTCCACTCTGCTTTGCTTTAACACAATATGATAACATATTTTAAAATGTATGTTTCTTTATGAAAGAAACAGACATCTCACACCTGTCAATGCCTTAATTACAAAGAAACCACATGAAGTAGAGAGTAAGTTCATATCAAATGGGTCCTAAGGATAAGAATTCTGCTAAAGTCCAATTAAGCTGCACATGAAGGAACAACTGAACAACTTTGATAATGTCCATAAATGAGCTAAACATTTCAGGGAGTCTCTAGGCTCTTTTTGTCACACACTGCAGAAAGTCAAGCAAGTTTGCCCATGTCAGCATGAATCATGGTGATGAACAGGGGACAGGGAGCAGAAACTGCTTGGTGTGTCGATAACAAAGAAAACATGTTGTAGGTACTCAGGATCAGACCACAGCTCTATGCAGTCAGCAGGATGCCAGCCTCCCACTTTGAGGGCTTGCAGAGTCGGTAACACTGGTACAGCACTGGGTGACCAACTGGCAGGAACTAGTAGAGCACAGAGTGACACAAACGACAAAACTATAGAAAAAGAAAGATATTAGAAGAGTCTCTTGAGTTAAGTAAAGGGTTTGTGTTCAACTGTCAGCTCATGTAATTATATGAATAATTTCTTTCCAAACCACAAAACTAACATTTTCCCCTTGTGTTCCTGCTGCACCTCCTGTGGTATTATTCCTCTAGTCACAAACAAGCGTTTGATTAAAGTATGTACCCAAGCAAGAAATGGCAAACCATCTCACCTATGACAGATACACATCCCAGTGGAGCAACAAGGGCAATGGGGGCAAATCCGTAGGCTGTGACATTGCCCACCTCTCCAAGCCCCAGGAGGGTAATCCCACACCACCATAGCTTGCTTGTGTAGTAGGGCTTCGGCTCTGTTTCACAAGCCAGTCGGAGATGAGCGCATTTCTAGAAAATTAATTATTAGGAACAGGCATGAAAAGAAAGGCTTCCATTGTGTTCCTACGTCTGACAAAAGTGGAATAATTAAAGGGGCTGTCAACTTCAAATTCCAGGTGTGTCAAGGTTTTCTTTTTAAACATGACTTCCAGCTTGTTGTTGCAGACACACTGCTTTGTGTTAACTCGGCGCCGCTTCAGATGTGTGCTTTCTTAACCATAGTGGAAATTACTGAAAAATTAGACCTCTGAATAAACCTGAAAAATATGAATTGAATACTAGCTAGTGCTTCCTAGCTATCACTGCACACCTCTGTTCTTCTCTCAAAGCAAAGCTCAGCAGCTGTGCTCTGAATCCAGAAACACTCAAGGGCAGGAGATGGGGCAGAATCAGACTGTGGCAACAAACCACGAGAAGGGGACCAGGCAACTTGGTGCTTCTGCTCCACGATACATATCCTTGCCAGAAATACAATTTCAAAAGGAAAAAGGCAGCACTTACTTAATCACATCTGCTGTAGGGAGGGCTCTAAATTAATTAGGTAGAATTTAGGATTTGGCTACAATCTTCTGTTTGACCTTAGAAGAAGATCTCAGGTAAAGCATTATTTTCAGAAGGAAAACCAGCTATACCTGTATCAACAGGTATAATATATACTCAAGTAATACTTCATCAACTTTTCTTGTTGGAGAAGGTATCATTGACACATGTAATTGTTCTCTCTCTCTGGCTGTACAGCAAGAACCTGTATATAACAGGATAATTTGACTTTGATCACACTGGTCTTCTGAAACAGAGTCCAGGCAGTCTCCATCAGGAAGGTGTCATGATTGGGAAGGATGCGATATTTACCACATTAGTTCTGTAGAATAGTTTCCTTTCTCAGATTCCTCACCAGCCTCTCTGCACATGGGTCAAAAAGTTGGAAACCAAAGGATACGGTTATTGTAGTATAAATGGTGGTAAATTACATTTTTCTCTCCATCAGTTGATATTTGATTTTGGAAGTCTCCCTGCAGAGCCCCAGGGAAGTTGTAAACATACTCCCATTCTACTCTGTAGGCTACACTACAGAGTATGGGCCAAACAGTAAGGTCTGTGATACACCATAGTCTCAGTCGTTCCTCTTTTTGAGAGGATGCAGCACATTAGTGCAGCTTCATGCTGTGGAACATGTTCAGGGGATGAAATTCTAGGAAGTTTAGCCCTCCAAGGAGCAAAAGAGCATAAGGAAATCAAAATTCCCTGAGCTACAGACCAGCAGTTCACAATAACGTCCAGGATTTTTCATGTTCCATTTTTATAAACAAAACCAAAAAAAGCCCAATAAAGATCCAATTGAAATGAATATTAAATAATATTCAAATCAAGAATCCAAATCTCTGCTGAAAACCAAATAGGACGAGTTCTTAACTGAATCCTGAACTCTGGTTTCTCCCTAGATTCTTGTAGGAATAACTCTTGGGGGCAGAGTGTGATGGAAAAGATGCAATGAATACAGGAGGGTGAGCTCAGCGGCTCCCCTACAGCCTTCTTTCTCCCAGATGTCTGCTTTCTTTGCATAGTAATGTGTGTGGATGGTATTTTGGTGGAGGCTGTTTATAATCCAGCTGAAATGTGTTGTAAATGGTGGGCTGTTCTTTAGCTGACAACCAGCTAGAGGGAAGAGAGGCAGGATAACTGACTGCACAGTGGGAGAGGGAGAGAGAACAATAAGATTTGGCCTGTCCATTTAATATGAGTGTGAAAATAAATGTTGAGATGTAGGGAAAGTCATTATTCATATTTATAAGTTACTGTTACTAAATGGAGAAGAACCTATTTTAAAGCATAAATAAAAATTTCAGTTGAAACTGTCTGTCAAGTGGCAATGCAGAGCTATTGGGTTTTCCCAAACAGCATTTAAAAAGCTGGAAGATTGTTCAAATCCAGTAAATGCTGTTAATGATTACAAGTCAATAGAAGTCTGTCTGCATGCTTCAGTACATCCCCTGGCAAAGCATCCACTTTGGCACTCAGTGCCCTCAGCAGACAAAAGATGAAGTCTGAACAACCTCATTATTATGGGCTGGACTGAATTTCCACTTCACCAACAAGAACTTTTCTGTTGAAACAGAGCCTGTCCTAGTACTGTCACCATCAGCAAGCTGGAACTCATATTGGAGAAGCATCAGTCATCTCAACCTGCCTGCCATCTCTGGCTAAACAGATTTCTTTCTGTGGGATTCTCCAACTAGAGATACTTAAAATAGAAGGGAATCATTAAAGAACTTCCCAGCATTAATATAATGGGTTATTATGAATAGAAGATTTCATATTCCATAGCTCTCTGTTTTATCCTTCACAGAAAAAAACCAAGAAATAGCATTATATGAGACATATACAACTCAAAATACAAGGTAGCAAAAATACTTTTTCTGGACAACTTACACAACATCTTCTGCACTTTAAAAACTTTTGTTAAAAGACCTAAAAATACCATGAAGTCTATGAGATACGGATTACAATCAATTATTTAACTTTCTACTGATTATGTATTCTAATTATTAATACAGAAAGGATTTTATAAATCTCATCTTACAACCCTTTGCCATAGTTGTAAGGTCAGCACCTCCCATTGCTTTTATGATGTAAAATAATATTTACTCAGATTATTTCATCCTAATTGCAGAAGGAAAACTAAGTTGGTCAAAGTTGTTTTGGGGCCCAATATTACAAAATCTTTATGTTTCTATGCATTTGATTACATTAATCACTTCATTAAGCAGTGCATAAGACCTTGTGGTCAAGTCCATTTTAGATTTTGACACTCTGAGACAGGTTCATGTGATGTCCAGTGGGACCATAAGCAGGTCACAGCTGGTATTTCCTTATGGCACATTACAAGGAGGAGGAGGAGTTATGAATTTTTTATTCTGTTCCCATACAAGAATCACAGCACAGAACAGTTTGAGAGCTATCATACTGCTAACAACTACAGCAGGGCACTGTTAAACTACAGTTAAGAGAGGGAATGTTTATTAAATGCAACTAAATTTGTATTTTGAACTTCACCATAAAAACAAATTGTAACATAAATTACTTGCTAAACATAAACAACTCTGAATAAAGAGAAATAATTTCATACCTGTATATTCAAAGAGACACTAATCAGAAAATTTGAAGCAGCAGCAAGTATAACTCCCAAGAGTTCAGTCTGCAAGGTCACAAAACAAAGAAATACAAAAATACTTCTTTTTAGTTTAAGAAGAACAATACAATGGTGGTTTTCTGATAGCACATTATAACCCAATCAAAAACAAATTATTGCACTTTTCAGTCACTGAGTTCAGGCTGCACTGATAAAAAATATCTCTGCACAGTTGACTAGGGCTTAAGTAGTAAACAGCTGGGAATGGAGAGGGCATCCCAGTGCAGGAGGTGGTTTTGCTGTCCTTCAGTAGAACACCTTCTTAAATCTCATGAAAGAAAAAACTAGAGAGGTCTCACTTGAACACTACACATAGGTATTCTTCTTTTCCAAAAAAAGGACCTGTTTTGTTACATAATCCAGAAGGAAAATCAACAGCAATCAAACTGTTCATATTGGAACACAATTATCTTAACGTGTTAACATATCTGCTATTTGACAGGGCAGCAGGGAACATAGGTCTCCTGACAGTTTCTTTAATGTATTGTGTTATTTCATCAAATTCTTTTTTAATCAGCTTGTCTAATTTTCAGTAAGATTTGCAAACTTGCTATGAAGCTGAGAAATTAAAAACATTCAAGCAGGATTCATTATTTTGGAAAGCAGCCATTTAAAGATGCAATTTCAGCAATCTCAAATAACAGGTACATGGTAGAGCTCCCTGTCTACTTTTAAAATGTTGTAACACTTTGTATATTGCCGTAAGTGTATTCAAGACCCTTTCAAGGTCACTGGTATGGTGCTGTGAGGAGCCCCATTAGCTTGTAGAGAAGACAAACATACTATCAGTGTTTTTTATAAACAAGGTCTTGGTAACATAACCCAGCATAACTATTGCTTGCAAGCTGTAAAGCTGCATCCAACTCAGTGCTCACAGCCTCCTCAGCTTTCATGACTCCTCCAAGAAGGTCCCTGAGCACCTATGAACAGGCAGTGCCTACCAGCCACAGAGACTGTTGCCCTTCAACATTTATAAAGAACAATATGTGTTCCAGCAAGCTCTTGGAGGGGAGGGTTATTGTTGTGGTTAGGTAACTCCCAGACTAGGAAAGAGCATCCCCAAAAGTGTGAAGAAACAACAGCCTTATTACAAATGGATGATAATGTTCTTATTTAAGTGCCACAGCTGAATGCAACTGCCTCCAGCCCATGCATTTCTGTAGTGGCTTAGACTCAGAAGGAGAAGCAGACAACAGAATTCTCTGGGTGAAATGCTTGTCTGGCTGCCAGGTGTCACCAAGACATGAGTGACAGGCACAAGGGGATGCAAAGAGGGGAATGCAGGAGGTGAGAGAGCTTCCTTTGCTCACACACCCTCTATGCTAAGCATTGCAGCACCAGTGCCACAGCCTGTGTACAAGAGTCGTTCGATGAGAAGAATTACTCAAGAGTTTTGCCCATACCCTCTAGTGCCTGGCCACTGGAGGTCCTTCCCGTCTTGCATCCCCTCCTTGCACCCCAGTATCCTCCAGTGGATGCTCTATCAGCGTGTCCTGGGCTCTCACGCACAGTGCATTTTCCATGCTCTGGGAACACCCCTCACTGGGAGCAGCGGGGAGTGTGTGACAAGACGTCTCAACACACCTCGGCACAGACGTCTCTGCTGAGATCAGGTGCTAACTGTTACAGGGACGCAAGCAGCCTTTGCAGCCTCCTTCCACGCTGGGGAAATGCTGTCATATGGTCCTCACCCAGGATCCCACAGAAGTAGAGGGGGTTGGTTTTCCTTCCTGAGGCTTTGATGCTGTAGCATTAAATTCTGAGCATTGATGTTGTGCAAAGTTTGACCACTTCACAGGTGGGTTATTTCAGGCCCCTCATCATCCTGCACACACAGCAGCTTCAATAAAACAGCAGTTAAATCAAAATTGTTTTCTTGGTCCCAAAGATTTGTCCTTTTCAAATGACAACATGCTCCCTTGTGAGGGGGTGGAGAAGTGGCCTCGTCATGAAGCATTTAAGAAAGAGGAGACAGTAAGGAATAGAAAACAGAAACTGCCACCTCATTTACCCCATCATTTTATTGCTTCCGCATCAGTAATTGTAATACATCCACACTACTCCCAGCAGAGAACGCAGTCTCTCTGCGGCTCTTTTCATTTCAGTGGCCGATTCTACCCTTATGGCTGCATCTCTGGATAACCCTTTACACACTGCATGGACAGGGACTCCAGAAGGAAGTTTTCCAATGCCCTGCATCACTGGCATCCCCTCCAGAATAGCAACTGCTTTTGAACCACAGTGGTTGCTTTGTCAGGCACCTGTGAGCTTGGCTCAGATATCCTTGTGGGACACATAATATCTCTAACATGATGACCACCCGGTGTCTGAACAGGAACCATCACCCAAAAGTCAATCCTCTTCTTACAGATTCCAGAAACTGCCAGGAACAGAAAACAGGTCAAAAACTTTGGTCGTCTTCTCCTCATTTGCTGGGAAATACTGAGACATGTGTGACCATTGTCTCAATACCTCCCTGTGAAATACCGAGATGAGTATTTCCCTCAGCTGACGCTGGGCTGGGACATGGGCCTGCGGGTGGGCCAGGCTCAGCAGGACCCAGAGCAGGGCTGTGGGGAGCTGAGACGGGCCCTGCTGTGGCATCGCTGGAGCAGAGGCTGATGGCCCCAGGGGGTGAAATGGCGTCCCTGGCCTTGGGCAGGGAGGGAGAGCCCAGGGTGGGCAGGGACGGGTAGGGCTGTGGGTGCCTTCAGGGCCCTGACACACACATGGAAAGCTGTGGAGGTGACACTCCCTTGTGCCTAACTGAAGCAGCCTCCTCTGTCTGCACATAAGGAAAAACAGTGCATGTGTACGATCAAGGCAAATTCCTAGTGGCAGTCTGGGCTCAAAACTTACCCTCATTGCTCAGGTCATTTTATTGTAATGACCACATGTTTCACCTGAGCGTTGCTGTTGGCATATATACTGCGCTGCCTGCTCCAGGCTGACATGTGTTAATGAGCTCTGGTTAACATGGTGATAGCACCATACTTCCAAACCCAGGGCTGGACAGACCCTTAAAGATTAAAAGCAGAGTACGATGCCCTAAGGAGGTCAAATATCACATGGATCCATTCAGGGAGATGAGATGAAAGTACAGTAACGCCATGCAGCTACAGCATTCAAAACTGTCTTGTACAGGTTCATGCTCAGACATGCCAATATTAAAGAAAACAACAGGGAACAAAAATGAAGTAAAGAGGAAAATTAGGTTGCAAACTTCACAAATCAGACTGCATCTTAAATCAGCAGGCAATTTCTAATGCACAAGAGCTATCACATACAGCAGCGCTCAAAGCAGGAGAGAAAAAATAACGATACCGTATCTCAGGCTAGTAAAACCATGCGTGAATGAAAGATGACCTGTGACAGAAGATAGATCACCCTACCAAACCAAAATGGTTGCTGTATTGCGCTGAAGGCCACCACAACCCTTCTGTTCCCATCTTGTCATGTAAAAGGCTTCATTATTTTTGCTGTGTCTGCCATTCAACATCCTTTAGAGGCTAGAGGACTGGTGGAACAGCCAGTTTTATAAGTAATAAACATGACATTCTCTGAACACAGAGTTTCCAGTTCTGATATCCAGTTGTGATATCATCCACAGCACTGCAGGGCTTCCCACACATAAGTCTTGAGACAAACCTCCGTGAGGGAATTCAGTTGCAGACACAACTTCAAAGCCATGGTGCTACTTCAGTCAACTAAGGACTTCTACAGGAAAAAGCCTTAAATATTCAAAACTGTTGGCGTAAAATGCAAGTCCCTTCATCACCAAAACATCTGTTTGAACATACAGGCCACTTTGCTGGACCCCGGATTTCAAACTGTTGACGCATTCTTCCAGTGCTTCCAAATGCATGAGGCTTGTCGCAGAAATATCCTGCCCTTAAGTTTTCCAGAAAGTAAAAAAACACCACAGAAACTTGATTTCTTTCACCTTAATATACTTTGGAACAAGCCATGAAAGTCACTTGCTGGCTTTGCAGTCCTTTCTAGATAGTCCCCAAGCACACAGACCATGGACTGACGCTGTGGATCTGCCAACATTTTCCTCGGTGGCAAAGCCAGCTTGAGGAATGCCTTCCTCTGCCCCCCCATTCCATCACTGCCTCATTTGTGTTAAAACAACTATTTGTGAGGCTGGCAAGGCACCGTTCCAGATTTGAAATAACCCTCCTAAAATATACCCCATTAGCATTATGTTCTTTGTAAGCCACCTGCCAATGTTTAACACTAAAGGCTGATCAAAATTCACAAGCCACAGCAAAGGTTTTAAAATGGTGACCATGCGCGGTTTGCCAGGGGTGACAGTGGCCTGTACAGGGGGCTGCTGGGGGGAATGAGTTCAAGAAGTGGCAAATTTGTCTCAAGCAAGGCACCCTCATCTCTTGCCTGGCATCCCCCATCCCAGTCGCATGAGGCTTTTGCACAAGCCCAGGCATGGGAAAGGGAGTTTTGAACGATCGGTCAGTAGGCATCCATTTGTCAAGTGAAGTGGCAACATACTGCTATTCAAAATAGATGAGCGGTAGTATGGCATATTGCTGCTTCAAGCACTTCAAGCATTCATGAAGGACCTGATGCTTATTTCTGCTAGCACCTTTTCACATAATTCTGGCAGTGTTTTAAAAGGCCATTTTACTCGCAAGCTCTCTTTTTATTGTCAAAGTAAAGTAAGGGGTTTACGGCAAATGAAAGCCAGGCTGAAATCTAAATCTTTGGCACTAATTCTAATAAATTTATCCTTGCAGACTAAAATCTGCATTGAAGACTCAGTTATACAGTGAGATGCAATTTATCCATATTAATGTATGTTTTCCTAATGCACATTAAACTGTAGTTGCCAGGCCTGTGAAATAAAAACTTAGAAAGTTTAACTTAATTCACAGTGACAAAAAGATAAATGGCCATTATTTATGGAAACTCGCTATGCCTATAAATTGAACAGATGAGCAGAAAATAAACACTTCAAAAGTATGTTGTCGGCTCACTCATCGAGGCTAGTTAAACTGTTCCTCCTATTTTTATTTCTGCATTTATTTGTGATCGAAAGGTGTTCCCAAGAAATGTAATGACATATACTGCTTCAAAACCTACACATTGTTTCCAGCAATTAGGAATTTGTCAGATCTCAATGGATCTTCTAAAAAAGAGGGGGGGGAGGAATGCCTTCTAAAGTTCCAATTCTGAGTTAACTCTGAAGCAAGGGGAATTCAGAGTCCTTAACAAAAAACATATTTTTCAAAGAGCCACCATGTGGAATTAGGAGAGGCTTATCATCCAGCTATTATTATTCACAGAGCTCTGGCTGTAGTCAGTGCTTTACAGATGTATAAAGAAAACAAGGTCCTTGTTTCAATGGTTTTCACGGTGCAATTCATATACTCATATGTGGGTTCAGGCCCATATGAAGTACTGAAGGACAGCTGAAATAAGAGTAAAAAGGCAATTACCAGTGTTGGAACATGTAATGAAAATACTTTTGATTTGTTCATTGTGACATAAAAGAGAAAAGACATTGTTCAATATACAAGAAGGAGAGAATTAAAACATTTGGCGCCATCTTTGTTAGGAACAGAAGGAGAGAGGAGGCTTGGTAAATAAGTCAGGATAAATGTGAGTGAAGACAAGATAGTTTGTAGATTTTACACAGGTCACCAGGCTGGATTCCAGACCACAGTAGATAAAGTTCCTATCTCATTAATATTACAGCATCTTTGCCTTTACTAGGTTTTACCTTTTGTTACCTCACAAATCTAAAATATATCTTCTTCCAGAAAAAAGACATACTGTAAAGGCTGGAAGGAGACCCTGGTAAGTTATGAAAAGGTGTGGGAACTTGAAAGGATAAAGCAACTACAGAATTGGGACCCTTCTATTCATCTCCATGCTTTAATCATTTTCATGCAATCTTATTTATACTCATCAGTCTGATTACTTCAATTAATGTTCATAAAGGGTAACAAACTGAGACGAAGAACATGAATTGTGAAATATACTAAAGTAACTTTCAATATGCTCACTTAATGTTAACAAGCATTATGAGTAGTAATTTTTTTCCTTTTTGAAGAGTTACAACCAAACCTCCCAACTCCTAAATTTTAACTTATTCTCAGGAAACAAATCTCAAAATTAGAAATAAATGGGAGAATGGGGAAGGGGCAGAATGGATTTTCACACTGTTCCTCAGGTGAATAGCCTGGGATACTTTGCTGCATAATCAAAGACCATTTCATGGTTTTAATACCGCCTGTTAGATTGCAAATAAAAACCTCTCCAATGACTGTATAACAGAGGGTCTAAAAATTTCAATTACAGTTGATAACATCTTAATAGAAAGATTTTCTTAAGGACCATCACATAACATCTTCATGGCAACTACAGAAATTACATACCAGGAAAAGCAAGAATAGGATTATAAACTTTTGCCAGTTTGCGGGTCCCTCAGGAGAAACAAGGAGGCAAGCCAGCATTGCCTGACCAGCTTCTCCCACAAAACGGCCAGCTGGCTCAGGGATACTCCTCTATTGCTGCCCAGGAGCAGGCTTTCTGGATATTCCTGTTTGACCCTGTCTAATTCCTGGTGTACAAGGTAAGGTTCAAGCCAGACCACTCAAAGCCTAGGTAATTAATTCCCAGAAGCTACAGCCTGGCTCACATTGAGAGGCTGTGCTGCTCTTCTCCCTGCTTCATGTGGCTTCCTGGACCCCTAAATCAAGAGCCAAGGCTCGCAGGGAGCTGGAGTGTACCAGTTCATGCCCTGCGAGATGGAGCTAGCTCTGCCTGTGCTCAGAAAGACAGGCAAGCTCAAAAGGGAGCTATCTGAACAACTGAGTAAATAGTGCTGTTACGAGTGACATCAGGTTGCAGGACAAGGCACAGAGAGTACTGTTGGAGAGATGGCTCACTCCGCATGTGCACACAAACATGCCTCCAAACCAAGCATAGCTAGCTCATTCCCTCTTGTTATTGTAGTGCAAGTCTTGCTGGAGTACAAATGAGCTATTTCTGATTCCATTTAAATCAGATACACAAAACCCTGACAGAAATGTAGCCAGCTTAATACATTATTTACCAAATCCTAAAAAGAACTTTTACATAAAAATCTCCCTTTACCAGCTAAGAGGAACTCATGAGAGGAATGACATGCCTCTTCCAGCATGCACCTCTCCAGCATCATTCTCCAACAAAGGCAGGCTTGTCTCCCATCCTGTCTCAATTAATCCTCTGTTAGCTATAACTAACCCTTCCTTTGATGTGCACAGAAAACGCTTCTCCACATCACAACCCGAGTGAACACGCTCAGGTGTTGAACCCTGATGTCATATGTGTGGGCCAGGGGTAAACGTAGGCTGGAAATGAGGACACTCATTGTGTTAGGCTTCTAACAGGAGTAACAACAGGGGAGGGGAAAAAGAAAAGAACTGACTGCATTTAGAATGAAGTTTGATCCATATGTTAAAAGAATTACTTGATTTTCTGGTAGGGGAATGGGCAGCCCAAAGGCCCTTCCAGTCTGCTGTTCCTGCAGAGGAGGGGTGCTTTCCTTCCTGCACCTCATGCACTTGGTCTCCTAGTTTCATTTCCACAGAGCGTGTTAATAATTTACAGATAGTTCCTAATACAAAAGAAATGACTGGACTCCAGAAGGCAGAACCTTCTGGCTAGCAACATTATTCATTTATATATAAACAACTGCTAGATTATCAGTGATGATTTAAAAACAAAAGGTCTTGCACTCTCTAAAATATTCACACATATGTATATGGGTACGTACACACACAAACATATAACTGGATGCTTTTAATTTGCAGATACTTCTGGTCAAAACTGTAAGATGCAAATCTGGGGATAACAAACTCTTTAAAGAAATGATCGCATATGTGAATTTCTGGCAGGGGCATGAGATATAGGCAATGGGCTCATGTTTTCCCAGCTGTCTCCCTGTGACACATTACAGTTGTGCCTTTTACTAGAAACTGTAACCTGATTTAAAGCATTGGTTACCATTTTGTAGTTCATGGTGGGTGCTGAAGTAAGGAGTGTCTAGTTCACAAGAATCCAAAATATCTACTACATAGTTGCCTTCTGCTGCAGAAAACAGGAATCAGTTTAGCTGTATGATCCCTTCTAGGTACCTTTATCACATTTTTATGTTCTCTGTTGCACTTAAAGACATAACAAGGTGGTGAGTTTTTTCCCCAGTTTTGAGTATTATTGATCCTTCAGCAACTGTACTTTATGTGGAACTTTTTTTCTGGTATTTTAGCATTACTATAGGATAGAATGGTTAGCAAGTTTCTTCTTGACAGGGATGACTATAGAGATGGGGCCATGAAGATAAATTCAGTCTACTCCCTTCCAGAATTAAAAAAAATGAAGGAAAACTGAGCACCCTTTTCAAGAGTCAGATGCCATCATCTCTATGCTTTTGTAAACCATGCACTGCTCTTTAATTTGTCCTGGCAGCCTCTGATCTATAGATGTTGCGGTTTAACTCAGGCCAGCAGCTCAGCCCCACACAGCCACTTGCTCACTCCGCCCCAGCAAGATGGGGAAGAGAATCAGAAGGGCAAAAGTGCAAAAACTCATGGGTTGAGATAAAGACAGTTTAACAGGTAAAGCAAAAGATACATGCACAAACAAAGCAAAATCAGGAATTCATTCACTGCCTCCCATCAGCAGGCAGGTGTTCAGCCATTTCTAGAAAAGCAGAGCTCCATCATGCATAACAGTTACTTGGGAAGACAAACGCCATAATGCCAAAAGTCCCTCCTTCCTCCTTCTTCCCCCAGCTTTTATTACTGAGCAAGATGTCATATGTTATGGCATATCCCTTTGGTCAGCTGGGGTCAGCTGTCCCAGCTGTGTCCCCTCCCAGTCTCTCGTGCACCCCCAGCCTACTCGGTGGCGGTGCAGTGTGAGAAACAGCAACTGCCTTGATGCTGTGCAAGCACTGTTCAGCAATAACTGAAACATCCCCATGTCATCAACACTTTTTTTGTCACAAATCCAAACCATAGCCCCATGCAAGTTACTATGAAGAAAATTAACTCTGGCCAAAAGCAGTACAATAGTCAAGAGATGGAGCTAGAGTCTCAATCAGATGAAAGCTGCTATTATTTGTTTGACTGAAGCTTCTGCAGACACTACAAGCTTTGCTCTCCATCATCTTGACATGATGACTGAGTCATTACTGCATGATAACACAGACACTGACTGATAATGTTCATGGTGCTTTAGTCACTGCAGGGAGCAAAAGATTGTCACTGAAAGAAAGAGAAACAAAGGAAAGAGATTAATGTCATCAGAAGTCGATAAATACAAGAACCTTGTGACAATTCCAAAGCAGGGAAAAACCCACAAACAAACAAACAAACAAAAAAACCTCCACACAACCAGAAGAGAAACATTAAGAAATAGTGGGTTAGAGTCATAAAGCCAGGTAAATGGAGTCACAATCTATTTACTCCCTAGCTGAAGCCCCCAGAAATTAAACTAGATTTTAATTGGGAGTTAACTATCTGGGTACAAGTCTGTTATGTACACTAAACTCACATTCTGGTTGTTTTTCACAGGAACTTCTCTCCAGTGGAGATATCCTTGGCTGCTGAGGAAAAAGGCTTCAAGTGCAATCCATATCAGCTGGCAAGATGACTTTGTTTTGAGCAGGATGACAGTTAAGTCATCGGACATGTTAGCTAAGACTCTGATGGAGTTTTTAGCTCCCATGAAGCTGATTTGGTTCTAGGGAATTAAATTTCAGCAAGAGCTAGGCTTGTCCACAAGAGGATATGTACTTCTATGTTACTACTTCACCTCAACCAGCATGAAGAAGCCATGTCCAAGGAACCAGCATTTGCTTTGCTGTAAGTCATTGCTTCCACATGTGGAGGGGTTTCCTCCAAACCTTGCACTCATCATGGTCCAGACCCTGCATTCACCATAGGCCTCTGCATCACAGGGTTCCTTCTGCGGAACACAGCAGGATACAAAGGGGAATATAGCCAGAGAGTCACTGCATGACTCATCCAAGAGTTAAACTCCAACGATCCCATGATTTGTCTCTACCACAGTTCCATAATCTCTCTTCATTCCCCCATTATGGGCAAAACAGTTCATATCACCAAACAAGGCCAAAGCTTCTAGCCTAGATGATGTAAATCAATCATGGACATCATGGAGGATAATAGAGTTACACCGGTATAACCTCAATTTAAGCAGTACACATCTGTTTAGTTTGAAATTGACTATTTACTTTGAGCACACTCTGCAAATACCACTGCCATATTTCTTAAGATCTCTGCTCCAGGCCTGCCGTTGATTCGCACACCAACTGGCTGTCTTTTGAAGCTGCTGGCAGTACGTTTCAAAGTCCAGATTAGTCACAGAATGGAAAGCTTATCTCCCAACTGTTCACATTAACAAATGCCATTCTTCTGGGACAATCTGTGGTGACATTATAAACATGAGCATAACAGTTTATACATGTCACCAAAACACCAAATGGAATAATCGCAACCTCCAGTTACTAGGTTAGCCAAAGGTCCTCACAAAGTGCACAGTCTGCTGTTTGTTCATCTTGCTAAAACCTTGGGGTTTGAGTTTGGTCAAATTTCTACTTGAGTCATTTGGATTCTTTTGATTCCTTCAAACAGAAGCTAATCAGATCCAGCGGACTGTTGGAGACATGCAAGGGTAAGATTCAGATATCTTTTTTTTTGATGCCCAAAGCAGACTTCAAGACTGTAGGAAGAGGAAGATCATACTTCAGCTTCAAAGAGCAATACAGTCTTCTTTGGGTCACAAAATTGTAAGGGTCCACAGTGCCACAGGTGAGATTTTATGAGAAGGCAACTTTTATTTAAAAAATTGTATCAATGAGTATTTTCCCGTTGATTTAGCCAGACAAACTGCCTCATCAAGGACTCAAATGAGCGCTGGGGCAAATGAAGCAGCAGAAGCATAGATTCAAGATGGGAGAAACACCACGTCTTTGGGTGGCAGCCATGTCCTAGATCCACACAGCAACCTCATGAAATCTCAGGAGTAGACAGGTGTTTGCCTAAGCAGCCAGACCTTCACCCTACATCACCTTGCAACTCCCAGGCAAGGCTGCGAGACACCAAAATCAACACAGTAGCCACTGCCAATTTTATTTGCAGAGTAGTCTAGAAGTTGGGGGCAGGGAGGGCAAAGAGCTGCACTGAGCCAGACACCTCCAAAGCAGGGTAGGGATTCAGTCTTTCCTACTCAGTGCTGACTAAGGGAAGAGGAGCACTCACCCTGCTCTACTGGCTCCAGACTAAATCTGATTCTGCTGCTCTGGATCACTGTGCTGAAGAGCAGTGCCAGTGTTTTAAGCCCTGTAGTCGGTAGCTGAGCTGGATACCAGACAGTCTGGTATAATGCCCCCAATCTTTCTGCAAAATACCATTTTGAAGCAGTCCAAAGCAAAAGTAATTTCTGCACTAGGTAGGATATGTATAACTTGTTACTCAAGTTTCCTCACATTTGTCTTCTGCACCCCACTTTCTGACAAATGGCAAGAAATTTAATGTTCCTTATTGCCTAGAAATTTCCAAATTAATATTCTCAAACCTCTTAAAAGAGATTAACGTAATTATGAAGATCCTGTTTATCTCACTGTCACCTTCATGATTAAAAATAAAATTAAAAAATCAAATGCGCATGTTCGTTAGTGTCCTCAGAAAAACTGAAAACTCATTTTACCATGGCAGCCGTTGGGAGGGGAAGCATTGAAAACAGTCTGAGATTTGGGAAAAATAGCCCAGTGAGAATCAGGCAACAGGCACTGGGCAGAGCTATAGCTGGTGCTCAGCACAGCCTCAGCCTGTGAGGGCAGTTGTTTCCAATGTCCTGACTGAGGTTTCCAGGAGGAGCCACCAAGGCTGCTTTAGTTAAAATGAACTGTGAGTCGTCAGCCTAAATAAAAGAGCTTTGCTCACTAGCTTCTGTTGGCTGTCAGGCTAGGAAGCACTCATTCAAGTAGCTCTGCCAGCAATGCTGAAGAGATGAAAGTGTCCAGAACAGAGGGAGGATGAGCTGTCCCATCAATAGCATTTGCTTTGGGTCTGTGCCCCAAGCTCAAAACACAGACCTGAGTTGGTTTGCTGTATCTGCTGCCCAGTACCATGCTGGGCTTTGGGGGGAAACTGCCACAGGCACCTGACTTCTTCCAGCCTTGATAGGAGATAACCAAGCTGAGTGATAGAGGCCTGCCAATAACACAGCACTAGGAAATCAGGCTGTTCTGGGACCCAGAGTAGTGCTGGGTGGAAACCAGATAAGCAGGTCACTCAGGCTGGCTCGAAAAGCTGCATACTACCCCCAGCCTTTGGGCTACTTTCCCACCTAGGACATCTATTTCAGACCTGCTGTCCCATTCCCTGCCTCCTCTATATTCAGAGGTATAAACAGCTCCACAGCTTACTCCCTCTCTGCTTGCAGTGATTGAAGGAAAAAAGCTACATTCCCCTAAGGAATTTGGGAGTCGCAATGATACAAACATGCCTATGGTACTGTGCAAGGGGACAGGCAAGGGGTAAGGCTCTACTGTACTTATATCCCTTACCTTTGAGTAATGAGTAAGTTCCCATGCAGCAACTGATCTTTCTTTAACCTGGAGGCTGCAGCTTATGAGCTGTGTGCTCATTTCACACCAGACATGTTGTGATCTTTACATCTGCAGGGACAGCTGATGTTTGGCAAGGCAGAATGGATATATGAGGTTGTAAGAAAGGTATAGGTGACCCTTTCTAACCAGTGCTCTATTTTTCTTCCTTATGTCAGCTTCTCACTCACACTAAAGCTGTTCAGAGCATAACCCCCAGCAGATCAGACCTACAGCTCTGGCAGAGCCTGAAAGCTTGGGTGCAAAGCTGGCCCAGCTGACGGTCCTGCATTTATGACCCAAAGCCACACATCCTTTTCTAGCAGACCCTAATTAAATGGGGACTAAGTCATGGAAATACTGCTGGATTCCCAGCAGCAGAACAACACCAGAGGAGTGTGCATCGGCACTGGTAGCAACTGTTTGCAGTGTTTCTTCATTATAAGCTTTGACTTTTGGATTCCCTATGACCGATTAAAAAAAGGTGTATCGAAAGGCTGCACAAAGTCATCTTCCTAACTTTTGATTTATAAGGGCTGAAAATAACACACATTTCCCACCTAAGAAGACAGTATGCATTTTTTCCCATACACATTCTCCCATAAGATAAAGGAAACTGAAACCTGTGAACTCTGAAATCTGACAGGTAAAGAACAACACGATGAAATAGAGTTAGTGTTTTGATACCCTTGTTTTACTTGCAGTGAATAGTTTTAGAATAAGGAGCTGGGGGAGAAAAGGAAAAACTTTTCACCATAGTCTTCACAGATGAGTACAGCAGCAGAGAGCTGGGTGAGGACGTGTTTGTCTCTACTCTCCCCATGCTCAGGGACTGGTTTACTGATTAACCTGTAACAGTTAACATCTGCAGTCCATCAGGGAGCAGACTGCAGCATGAGGTACCCTACAGAGACTGAGAAAATGGCATTAAAATAAATCTACAAAACACGTGAAGTGGAAAAAAACAGGAGGGTTTGCCTTCACCTTTAAGAGCCTGAAAATATCTGGTGGTTGCTTCTTGCGGAGGAAAGCTGCCCTGGTTGAAACCCACATGTGCTGTGGCCATGCTGCCCTTTTGGCTCCTACCCTCACTTCCGTGGACACCTTGGCTCGCTCTAGAGCTTTCCCTGATTGAAAACTGTAGTTGGAAATTTCATTGTTTAAGTGCTTAAAATATCCTGGTGAATATTCATAGGATGTGCCATGACAACCCTTTTCTCTGTTGGCAGTGCCAGCTGAAGAGGCCCTCACTGTTTCTGGGGTGCTTCCTCAGCCAAGGGAAATAGAGAAATAATCTTCCTCTCCATGGTGGCAGCTCCCTGCCGTCCTGCACCGGGTCCCTCACAGGACAGGGGCAGCAGCCCCCACAGCAGCAGAAGTACCAGCAGAGACTGTGCTGCCACTGGAAGAAACTGGGACCAGACCACGCCCTCACCTTGCTGAGGCTCAGTGGCACTGGACATCAAGCCCTTAGCAAGGTGGGGTGTGTTGAAGCACTGAAGACTTTCTCCTTGAACAGAACAGAGGTAAAAACCTTAATTGTGGTACTTCACAGGAGATCTAGATTTCATGTATACGATAGAAGGCAGCCTAGAAAGACCTCACAGTGATGTGGTTAATCTGTGGGATTTCTCATCACACCTGATAGCAGCCACCACCGCCTGCTGATTAGACCACACAAAGGATCACGTTTCCGGGCTGCATGTAATCGCCACCTGCGCGTATGGCCTGTGACGGGCTGTGATATATTGTCACGGGACAAGAGGCCACAGATCCATCTGAAGGAGCTGTCAACATTTTAAACCTCAAATATAGAGCCGAAATGATTTATTACCACAGCCCATGAAATAAAACATTCTCTCGAGGTGAGAGTCTGGGCAGCCAGTAATAACTCTGAGTTTATTAAGAGACAGGCAAAGGGGGAAAGAGAAGCAGAAGTGAAATGAATTTCCATCTTCAACTTGGCTTCTGCACTTGAACAACTACACACAGTGACTACACACAACAGCCATGTGAAATACTGAGTTACGGAAGAAGTATGACATCCAAACTTCCATTGAATATTCTTACCCAGCTGTTTTCTCCTTCTCTGATACAAAGTCAAATGAAGATCAATCTTGTAGATAATAATCTCAACTAATCTTGTAAAATGTTTTTGTCCATAAACAACATTGGAAATAAATAAACAACCTTTAAGAAGCACTGAGGGAAATATAAAAGGATTAAACTGAGGCAATTACATACACTTTCTATTAAGCAGAAAAAGTCCACGTATGGTGGCTCCTTACATTCATTACTCCAGCAGACTCAAAAATATTACAATAATATTATTTTGTCAGGAAATACTTCAAGTAACTAAGTACATATTTCATCAGATTTTACTGCATCATTAAACACACCCATGTCGCGTGACGTGTAACGCAGTGCTGAGACAGGGAAGGCTGTGGGAGCACGGGATCCTGTGTTGCTGATTTCAGAGGTGCAGTTCCTTGAGCAGCATCAGCCAAGCTACATCCACGCTGATGCCAAGGAGAAGGCCTGCCTCCACCCTTTTTTTCCCCTATGGCCACGCATTCCTCCTTCTACCCTCATGCTGACAGCTAGCACCAATTAGCCTGATCAGGGACCTGGCAGGAGAATAACCCAAATTAAAAAAAAACACAACGAAATGTAATGCCAGCACAAGGAGGCATTACACTACACAGCCATGTGGACACAGGCACTTTAACTTCTTCCAGGGCGCTGTGTGTTCAGACATTGTTTAAGGCTTGCTCCAGTGCCATGGATTTCCCTAATGCACGTGTCAGATCTGATGATCCCATGTGGTGTCTCTGCTGCCCACATGGCACTAGGTAGCTGTGACCAGCAGCCGTGCCGAACCCCTCATGTCTAGGGGCTCTTGGAAAGGAATCTCACTCTTTCACCTCCTGATGGTTCATGGGGCTGAATGGGCTGAAAAATACTCCCCCAAGAGCAATTCACCTCAGCTTTCCTGGGATGTTTCAAGGCAGGTGAGAGCTGGTGCGGTTATGGTCTCTTGTAGAGGCAGAAAGCAAAGAGCTCCTCTTCAGACCAAACCAAGGGGATAAAATGGCCTCAGGAAAAGGGGAAGGGAAAGAGTCCCTGTGTGAAGACCTGAAACTGGGCTGATCCACTGAATCATGGCCAGGAATGGAGGGAGGAAATGGTTTCTGATATTTTCAGAAATGGAAAATGTGAAAATGGGGGTGCACAGAAGAATTTAACTGTTGGGAAAATGAAGGCTGGCGGTAACACATGACCCTTAGTTGCCCATTACCTGGTCCAAAGCCTCAACTCCAGTAGAAGCACAGAAAATTAGTCTCGCCCATGATGCCCAAGCAACACTAAAAAATGATTGAGGTCTTTCCAGGCTTAAAACACAGCAATCCTCACACAACCACCCCAAGGAGTATAGAAGCAGGGTTGGCACATTTTGCAAGCAAACCAATAACCCCACCGTGACGTGCAGGTGGGTGTCCCCATGCCGAGGGCGTTCTCTGTTGCTGCCTTCCTCCAGCAACTCTGCAAGCACCCCAGCCCTGGGACCCTAACTCCCAAACCCACAGTAACCCTTGGCTTTATACTCTTGTCTCCCATATGAGATTCCAGCTCTGGTCCCGGGAAGCACGGCCACCAGCCATCAGCCAGGAGGCCTGCTGCTCTGGGGGCCCGAGCACAGGAATTCACAGGTTTCCTTCCCTCTGAGAACATGGGGCTGAGAAATGCCTCCTGCCATCTGGATATCCACCCAGTAGCAAATGCAGAATCCAGAGGGGAAAGTTTTTGGGACCTTCCCCAGGCTATGACCTGCTACTGTGCTGCTTGCAGAGAAAGGAGAGCAGTTAGTTGCAAGCCATTTTATGCACCATTTATACCAATACTTTGCATCGTAAAAAAATGGTTTGCCTCTTATGCAGCGAAAAACAAGAATGTTGACTATCCTCCCATGCCTCCTAGTTTGTGAAGCAAAAAGCAGGGAAAAGGTAAAGGGTTTAATCAACCTCCAATTCATTTTTATTGTTAGCAGATGCTTCAACTTGCTAGTTCTCAGGGGCCACTTCAGTCTCTCTTTTGCAGTTGCCCAAATGCATTGTCAGCACTGACAGCGGCAGAAACACCAATGACAAAAACCAGCGATGCTCTAGCGCAGAACAGCACGGGTCTCTGCCTGTTCCTACTCAGAAAGGACTGCTTGGAGGGGGAAGCCAGGGCGGTGCGGGCTGGACAACGGGGTGAATGGGAGCAGGTGTCAGCAGCAAACAGGGTCTGGAAGGGGGCTCTTCGGAGGATGGTGGGGAGAGGCTGAAATGATTACCCCACTCTCCCTGAGCCCACTTGTTCCTGGGCCCCAGCATGGTGCTGCACGTCAGGGACTTACCTTGTGTGTGCTGTACCAGAGGCCGGAGAGGGGCACGCTCCCGGTGCCTGGCCCCCCAAACGATGTGTTCCAGGATGCCCACTCCGAAACAGGGAGGATGCCCATATCCCTGCCCTCAGGCCCCTGCCACTGGCCATGCCATGTGCTGTCACACCAGTGGGGACCGGTGGCTGTGAGGAGAGGCGAGCAGGACTGGACGTGGCACTTGCTTCCTGGTGTGGGAAAGGCTGCTCCCGTGGGTCACTCCACACGCAGGTGTGTGCAGCCGAGGGCTGCGACTGCCGGTGGGCACTGGGAGACCCTCAGCTGGGGAGTATTTGTAGCATAGGAGAGGAAGGCGAGCTTGACAGAAGGTTTTGCTGCTCTTTCCCAGGGCATTCAGGTGCCTTTTTTTTTTAATCTGTCTGACTTCCCCAATGCCCCACCCTGCTCTGAAAAGGCAGCCTGGGAATTTAACTCCTTCAAATCAATGCCTAAATCTAATGGTCAGTTATTGATTCTTCACTGCTAGACTGCAAGACTTGGAAGTTGTTGTTCCCATATGCATATAGTCACTTGCATAAATTCTTACTTCTGTCATATATTCTTTGTTTGTAAGTGTTTACTGAATAGGTTCTTTGCCGAGATTTCAGGCAATAGGTTTGTTCCCAGGCTGTGGCTTTATCCATTCATTCTGTTAGTTTTGATTTGATCACTTAAGCTCTCCTGGGGAAAACAACAACTTAGCTCCTTAAATGGGAGAGTAGGAGCTAGCAGGGTAGGAGCCTGGCAGAATTACATGGGAGACAGAAATAGGCTTCTAGAGAAGAACAGAAAGGAAGAATTAAGCCATCTTCAGGGTCTGGACAAGATAATTGCTTGCAATCCAGAGAGCTCATACTGTACTTTGGAAGGATTCGGTTGTATTAGTTTATCCCATTGGTCAGCTGGGCTTGAAAATGTCCAAAGTCCTGACAAACAGCATAGCAGACAAGGGTCAGTGGGCAGTTATTCTACCACCTGCTACAGCAGAGTTTTCACCTACTCTTAAGAAGAAGTGGGATTGATTGCTTCGTTCCAATGGGACTGGTGGTCCTACTATAAGCGAGATGCATCAAGAGAGAACAAGTCAGCATGCAGGAGAGCAGGCTGGGGACTGAGCTTCCAGCAGGCAAGGATATATAATACCTAATAGAAGTGAGCAGCAGCAAAGTTGACTGCAGAGAGAGAAATGAGGATACAGCCCCTCAGTATGATTAACTTGTTCAAAATGGAAGGAACACACAATACAGGAAAGAAACTGAAGTTAAATTAATACTCTCTTACTTGACTACATAACCAATGCCTGCATTAGCCACAAGGATGTTATTTGAATCCAGCCAGAAGTGGCAAGGTAGTGCTTCAGTTAGATGATGATATAACACCCCAAAATACAAAACCTTGCCTTATAACAATAAATGTTTTGTTCATGTGTGTGGCCTAACTTGAAATACCAGTTTCTGTGATCGCAGCTCCAGTGAGTCCTCTGTAAATACCGGAGCTAGCTGCAGCCATGTATACACAGGTACACTGGAAAAAAACAGCTCCATTATTTCACAGCTATGTAAATTGCTGCAGACTATTTTTACTGTGTTGCGTAATTACTCTCCAGAGTCTAAGCTTACATTTAAAAAAAAAAAAAAAAGGTTTCTAGGCAATTTGGGTTATGGTTGCAAAAATACCCTTTAAAGTGGAACTGGAGTGTAAACTGCTGCAGTGATACTTGCCCAGTCTAGAGAGAGTTGAAACAATAGCTCAGAGGGAAGTGTGAATGGACCCATTCTTCTAACTGGAGCGCTAAACTGGAAGTCTGCTGACAATTTAAGTGTCAACATCAGCTACTTCAAGGCGGATCATTTTAGCAGAAACACCAGGCTAATGTTCTTATTTGTCATCTTCAATTTACACTTGTTGGATAGCAGATCCTGGGGCGAGGAGGAAAAGCAGCAACTGGTAGTCAAGGGTTGCTGGGCTGAGGAAAATTCTCCTGTTCCTCTGCCTCCTTCACCCACAGTCACCTCTGCCCCAGCTCAAAATGGGGAGCAAAGAGGTCAATGCTTCCCCAAGCTGGGGAAATTGTCTTTGGTAGCCAAAAGCTGCACTGGTCCCCACCAGCCTGCCAGTGACCTCTGCAGTATAGTTCTCTGTTGCCAAAAATGCACAAACTGGTAAGAGATTGAAAAGGAGTGTAAGGGGAGTGGGAGCAGAGGAGCAGCCCAAAATATCTCTTGAGGACAGTTGCTGTTGTTTTGCTTCATTCTTGTTGGTTCACTGCCTAAAATACAAATGTGACTGTGGTTTTCTCTTGCATAAGAAAGCTATTGGAACAGGTTTCTGTAATGTTGTGTATGTGGAGCCCTTGTTGAATTGCTTTTGAAGTTGATCTAGCAGTGATGGATCGCTGTTCCACACTGGGTCCAGACATGCCCACTCTGTCTAAACATGCCAGGGGCCCTTATGGCATCCTTTATTTATTAAAAATCTCTAATTGTCTTGCATGTATAAAACCCCAAAGTTATTCAGATGAATTTAACCTTTCTTTACATTGTAAGCCAGCCCTATTAAGAAAGTAAACAGCATTTTAGAAACTATTTCTGCTCAGTCACTACCCTCCGTTAGAAAAAAACAACTCAGTATGTGCAAATGTCCCTATATTTGCACATTGCTGTTTTCAGGCTGAAAGTGATGCTGAGGTGATTGGCATAAAGGTATTAAAGCCCTTGAGACTGATGCTTAAAATATTCTGAGGAAGTGTCCCATGAAGCGGAAGCAGAAGATGGGATCTGCAGGATGTTTTGACTGAGAACATTATTTCCAGTTTTCAGTGGCACTCAGCTGTTCTGCAAGCTTCTGCCCAAAGTTAAGTTCTGTTTGAGGGTCCTTCAAAGCACTTCTGCCAGGTAGGCCAGCAGAATAGACTAGAGCCACTTCAAAACCATGGAAGTATAAAGTGTTTTCAGTGGGCACCACAATACATTAGCAAAACAGCACAGCAGAGATCTGGCACCAGAGTCAGGATCACATCGCTCGGGACACGTTCAGAATGCACCATGTATAATTCCCTGTGTGTGTATTTTTGGTTGTTGTCCTTGTACTGTGGGGAATCTGGGGTAGCTCAAAAAATACCTCAGGGAAAGTATCTTCAGAAGGATGACCTGACTTGCTATTGCTGGCTCTGTCTGTCTTTACATCTGGGCGAAGGCAACAGAAATACAAGTTTGTGTCTGGCTGTGGTGGCTGACTCACATCAAAATCGGGACAGGAGTGATTCTCCCTGTGAGTAGCATCTCACTCCCTCTGAGTACCACACAGCAGGAAGTAGCACCTGTGAAGATGGAGTAGATGCTGCTTGAGTTGGTTTGCTAGAAAATCTCAAGGCTGATTAAACTGAGTAATCTGCAAGGTGGCAATCTTTGACTCCTCCTATTCTATTGCCAGTCATTTTGGGGTAGAAAAGAAGGGGCTACACAGCCTGAGAAATGGCATCCACCTTCTCTAGTCATTCCCATCAGGCTCTTAACAGCTTGGGTTACTTCTGAGCAATGCAGACACAAGAGAGTATTGTGGGTTTTAATTGCATGGATTCCCTTACTTTGATGCTATATTTCTATCTGATATTCTTTGGCCAAGCATGGGTCTCTGTTAACAGAAGATGATGTTCCTCTGTTGGGTCACAAGGCTTTGGAGACCGCAACGGGTGCTTTGTCAGCCTCAGGTTCAGATGATCTGGGACCGAGCTTGATCCATGTATCTTCCCGAACTCTGGCTTGTCTGATATTGGCACCACATAAACCAACAGAGTTATTATGCAGTTTCCTACCTCTGGTTGCTTTAGCCTCCTGAAGTCATCCATGGATAGCTTGACCTGGCACCAGCGTCACTTCATTTCAGATACTCAGTGCACTTGGGTGTCTGAAGAGGAAACAAAGAGGGCCTTTTGTGTTTGCTTGCCCATGTTCCATCACTCCTCTGTGCTTACACTTCGTCACTGTAGATGACCCGCATTCTTAACTGAGAAGAGTCCACATCCTTGACTACTGGGCTCTAGTCACAGTTATCAAGACTCCCTAAGCCAGAAAATGAAAGAGGTTATGGTTTCCTCCTCTGCCAAATAGGAAAACTGCCCTTCCTTCAGGGTACCTAGGTGTTCCTACCACCAACTTCTCTCCCCTGTGAGGATAGAGCCCAGGTGATGGGAAGTTCACTGCTGGGATGGATGGTCCCAGCTGGGTGATACAGGAGAAAGTTGAAGACCTTGCTTTTACCCGCTGCTCAGAGGACATGGCTGCTAGTGACACATTAGTGCAAAAAGTCCTAAGCTTGTGCAGGATGATCAGACGTGTTTCTGAATTAAGTGTCTACAAGCAGGCTTTTGCTGGGTCAGTTCCTGTGTGTAAGGCCATACCTGAAGGCCTGAATCTGTGAGCAGGGGAATCTGCCTGGAGTGGGTTGCAGGCAGGGTATACTGTGTAGTGTTAGCACAGGATAACTTGTGGAAGATGTCTACAGACAGTCTGTTGATTTTTACAAGCAGCTTTCACCTCCCTTCCCCCAGCAGCTTTACAAGTCCATGGCGCAAGTATGTACTACTTCATATGCTATCAATTACAGTCCTGACTGGAAGTTGCTTTCCATCTTGAAGTCTACAAATGTACAAAAAACAGGAGTCCTGGAATCAAGATGTACATTACAGACCTTGGAGAAGGCTTTTGTCCTTCCTTTCTGGATGGTGGATCAGTGAGAGATTTGTAGACTTTGGACATTTTCATTTTTGCCTTTTAGACCCTACCAATTTAGGCTTAATCCTGATCCTTTTAAAATCAATGGCAAAGTTCCCACTGACTTCAAAAGAGGCAGCCTGAGCTCTCAAATACTTTAAAGAACAATTTTAAACAAACAAACCTTAGATGGATAAGAATTGCATTTTCTCTCTCTATTAGGCATGCAACTTATTTTCTCCAAATGTAAACGTTACCTGGAGAGCTAAGCAGTGATGTGGTTTTTATTATTTCTTTAGGAGGCTACAGTACCCAAAGTATATTCCATACATACTTCTTCATTTAGGAGCCAAACATAGCTATGTAAAG